TTCTATCCCACAATGTAAAATATTGTCCACAGTTGTAGTCAAAGAAGAGGTGAAGGTGTGTATGGTGAGCTGAGCCCTTAATAAATGGCCTTAAGATCTGAAGATACAAAAATCACCATCATGAATGGAAACTGTCCAGATATTGACAAAGATGTACAACCTAAACAAGCCAGCTTGTGGACCATACACTTATAATGAGTTAATCCAGCCATTTGGAAACTCTCGTACATTGACATACAATTTGCTGTATCCTCTCAGCTCCAGCAGGAACAGTGAAATGGTGGGAATACTTAATCCATGGTAATGACATTAACAGTAAACAATTTCTTACAAGACTTGATTCTTTAAAAATTGTGGGTTTTGGGCCTCTCTGGTGGCCTAGGGGTTGTCTCAGTACTACCAAGAAGGTCCACTGCAACAGCCTGAGTTGGATCCCTGGCCAGCAACAGCCTGAGTTGGATCCACATGGCTCAGCAGACCTCTCCTGTCTTGCCTACTACTCCTCTTAGCAGTGTATTTCAGTATATCCACCTGTTCTGCACCCTACTCTGTTTCCAGCGAATCTTCTCACCCCTACTCCTTGACACCTCTGGCCTTCACCCCAGTTCTACTACACAAAATTTAAAAAAAAAAATCTCTAAAAAATATGTGGATATTTCATTAGGGAAATATAGGCAAATAATAACTCAGTGTTGCAATGAGGAAATAAAGGATAAAAGCTCTAAGATTTGTTACTATCAGGAGAATTAACAGTCTGTCAGAAGATGTCACCTTCTGGCCATGTGGTAGATACATAAATGGTGTAAAAAAGTCATAATCTGCAGCATCAAGTACAAGATCCATCACAGACTCATCAAACAGCAGAGGCTGGGGACCCAGTGGTGGTGCAGGTGCAACAAGACACAATGGGGGACTCAGTCAGCAGGAGTCAGGCTTTGTCGACAAATGAGCCTGATGCCAAACTAGAGAGGGTCAGCCCACTATCCAGCGCTGTGGGCCAGGAAGCCTGGGCTGGATTGCAGCACTGGTCAGCAATAGGTGCGGCTTGGTGGAGCTCAAGGGTTAGTTTTGAACTTTGGCTTAATCTGGCCCTTCGTTCGCTTTCTCTACATCCATATATAAGTATTTCTCTTTTTTCTTTTGACTTTTCCCTCTTCCATCCATGTTGCCGCAGTGGCATGAGTTATGTTTTCTGAAACAGTGGATGCTGTTTCATTATACAGGTACATATATCACCTGTATATGTACATATATGTATACACGTAATCCCAGCTTCTTCTTGATTTGTCACCTGTTTGGGGCATTTAGGTTGTTTCCATAGCTTGGCTACTGTAAATATTGCTGAGTGGTGACGGGAGTGCAGGTCCCTTCACAGGAGAGTATTTATCATCTGTGAGTAGATCCTCAGTGCGGAATTGCTGGGTCCAATGGCAGAACGAACCACATTTACTCTTTTAAGAAATCTCAATACTGTTTCCATAGGGCTGGCTCAGTCTATATCCAAAAACAACGTAGAACTGTCCCCTTTTTTCCACATCCTTGCCAGCACTTGTTTCTGGTCTTTTGGATATGGGCCATTCTCGCAGGTCTGGAGTAGTTTAAACCAGGGGATCATAAAGCCACAAAATGTGGGCAAAAATACATCCTGTAACACTCAGGGCAGCACAAGGCTGTCTCACACCAATGCAGAAAAATAATCATGAAGAAATTCAGGTGAATTGCCTGAGTGTTAACAATATCAATGGTCCACTGCACTCTCAAGATGCCCTTCTGAAAGCATCCCCATAATCTAGTCGAAGCCTCTCTGCCTGAACCCTTAAGCCCCCGCTGCAGTCCTCAAGGGTCTCACCTTTAGGGGCTGAGATACACTTCAGAGCCCTGGGCACTGCTGCTGCCCAGGGGGGAACACAACTAAACGTGGTCAGAGATGAGACCACAGGAGGAAATGATTAGGCTGACACCCCCATGGGCTCCATCTACACTGTTTCCAAGGACTCAGGGATCAAATTCTTGATCCAAACCTACCTGGAGCTTGAGTATAGCTTCTTCTTGTTCACCTGTGGGAAGAAAAATCATGTGAGACCACGGAGGAGTCAGGTCAGAACTCCTAAAGGAATCTTCTAATCCTGCAGAACGGGGAAGTTTCCAGAACTGTGACTAAAGACCCAGGTGAGAACTGGGAAAAAATAAAGGAGGTGAGGGGGGACTGGACCAAACGCCCTTTGGTCAACACACGTGAATGGATGGCACTTCCCATTAACCAGGTAGGGCAAGTTCTCCCCGGGACATGAAAGCCCCTAGTGGACAAGATCCCCCACTCCCTTCTCTACCTGAGCGCTTCTTCCTCCACATCACAGCTGCAGCCACCGCAGCTCCAGTGAGCACAGCTCCAAGGAGAACCAGGCCAGCAATAAGACCCCCGGTGGGGACAGAGGACTGAGGAGGGGGCACTGGAAGGGAAGGGAAGGTTAGACCCTGAGCCCCAGGCCTCCATCTTGACCCTCTGAAGGTCTCCAGATGGGCTCCTGATTCCTGTGAGTAGAGCTCAATGCCCACGTACCCCTTCTCACCCCATCTCAGGACTCGGGGCTCCTTCAGTCCCTCATGCTGCACACGGCACGTGTATCTCTGCTCCTCTCCAGAAAGCACCTCCACAGATGCCCACTTCTGGAAGGTTCCGTCACCCGCAGGTCTGGTCTCCACCAGCTCCATGCCCTGGGTCAGGTCCTCCCCATCTCGCTGCCAGGTCAGGGTGATGTCCGCAGGGTAGAAGCCCAGGGCCCAGCACCTCAGGGTGACCCCATGATCTGAGGTGGGGTGATGGGTCACGTGTGTCTTTGGTGGTTCTGAAGACAAGGGTAAGAACATTTACTCTTTGGATTTTCCATCCTGGACACTGAAGCAGCCTTACTGACCATCCTCAGAATGAACATGACAATAGGTTTGGAGGGAGGAAGCACAAAACCAAGAATCCAGCCTAGTCTGGGGAATCTGGGATAATCAGGTGAGAGCCCAGGGTAGGAGGATGCAGGTCTCTAAGGAGAACACAGACTTTTGCTCCTGACCTGGGTGGAGGGTGAAGGACACAGAAAGGCAGGAGTTAGATCCAAAAATGTTCTCAGACCAAAAACAAGACCTTGAAAGAGAAACTCAGGGTTCCAGGATGGCTGTTGGGTCACAAGGATCCAGGGAAGAGCTATTTCAGGATGGCCTCCCTCCCTCAGGAGAGACTGGATTCTTTAACCGTCCAGAAAAGTGGTGTCTTCTGGGAGAGTCTCTAGCACAGAACATGAAACGCAGGGGGCTCCTCCCTCTGCCCAGAAAGTAGGTGCTGTTGTGAGCTTTATTCCATTTTCCCTGCAGGGCTCCAGAAGAGGGGTGGCCTGAGGTCTTGTGGCCCCTCTTACCTGTGCGCAGCAGCACCTCCTTCCCCATCTCCAAGAGTCTGCGGAGCCACATCAAGCACTTGGTTCTCACACTGATCCTGATGCGCTCAGCCCTCCCCTGTGCCTCCCACTCGCGCTGGGTGATCTGAGCCACGGAGTCCGCGGGGGTCCAGGAGCGCAGGTCCTCGCTCAGGGAGATGAAATCCGCGCCGTCGTAGGCGAACTTTTCATACCCGCCGAGGAGATTCAGGTCTGGCCCCACTTCACAGCCAAACATCCTCTGGAGGGTGTAAGACCCTGAAACCCACCCCTGTGGTCAGTCCTGAGGTCACCCACGGTCATCCCGCCCTCCCATCCTGAATAAACCCAAACTGAAAACGAATGGGCAGGTAGGAATGTCCTGCCGGCTCTTCCCAGCGGAGGGGCTTAGCAGATCCACCAGCCTCGAGGGTCTGTCAACCCTGAGAGTCCGGACATTCTGGCCTTATTGTGGGACCTGACCCTGGCCCCGCCCCGCGAAGCTCACCGTCCTCGCTCTGGTTGTAGCGGCCGCGCAGGTCCCTCAGGAGCACTTTGAACCCCTGTGCGTTGTTCCTTTGGTTCTGAGTCTCCAAGTCCAGGTCCTCCTGCCCCACCTGCTCTGCCCAGGACACCCGCGGCTCCACACTCTGACCCGAAGAGTCGCTGTCGAACCGCAGGAACTGCGTATCATCCACGTAGCCCACAGCGATGTAGTGTGGCTCCCCGAGGCCAGGCCGGGACATCGTGGTGGAGAAATACCTCAGGGAGTGGGAGCCTGGGGGCAGGAGGGGAGACCCGGGCTGACCCTCCTCTCAGCACGGGCCCAGGGCCCAGGGAGATGGGCCTGGAGGGGAGAAAGGGGCGGGGCCGTGAGAGTGAAAAGGGGGGTGGGCCAAGAAGGGCCCAGACTCAGGGGACCAGAGCACTCAGGGGAGGCGGGAGGGACAGGAGGGGCCAGAACACAACGGGCCTTAAGGGGGTACAAGAGGTTGGCGGGAGATGAGCCTTTCCTGGGGTCCTGCACCCGCAGGGGGCTCCTTGCTCCTCCCTCCTGGAGCAACAGTGTCCAGCTGGACACGCACTCACCCGCCCGGGTCTCCATCAGGGCCAGGGGTCCCCAGAGCAGCAGCAGGAGGGTGAGGGGCATCACACCCCATCCAGGGGCCTGGGGAGAAGAAGTCCAGGAGAGTCCTTGGAGACTTTGTAACTGGAGCAGGATGATGCTAATTGTCTTCCTTGGAAACCCCCAGGAAATGGGGAGAGAAAATGGGGGTGAGTGTGGGGTCATCAAGGCTGCACCACCCCACAGAGCCTGTGAGAGGGAGACATGATGCTGTAACAGTGTGACATCCACAGAAAGGGGAGGCTCCAAATTCCCTTCCCCTCCTTAGGGAGGAGTGGATTTGGGCTGGGAGAAGCAGCAGCCTGGAGGAATGAAGAAAGTAGAATATTCCACTTTGGTACTGAAATAAAACTATACAGGTGGTAGTTTCTCAAAGGTTATTTGCAAAGTGAAACCTGAAATAATATGATGGAATATTTCCTATTCTGTAACATTTCATAGGCCTCTCTTGCATATTGGTTGGAACTTGTGCTAATGTTTGATTTTTTTAAGGTGATACATTGTTTCACTAAGTTACATAGATCTTTAGTGTTAATTATGCTGGAATCAAATGATTTAAAAAGTGTTTTTATTTTTATTTTATTTTAAGATGTATTTATTTATTTTATACAAGCACTGGGTACAGTCAGAAGCGCGGGAGGGTGAGAGAATTTACCAGAGCCAGAGCGGGGAGCAGAACAGGCAGAATGATGAAGTACACTGCTGAGGGGAGCAGCGGGTGGCAGGAGAGGTCTGTGTGCCATGTGGGACCCTCACTGGCAGCCGGGGATCGAACCGGCGCTGCAGATGCCACAGCAGCTTTGCAGCTCAGCGCTCAACCGCTGCGCCACCAGGGAGGCCCAAGTGTTTTATTTTTAGTCACAAATCCCCCCCCAAAAATTATCACTATAAGTGGTCAAGTAGTGATTTGTCATAATTCTGGTTTTCTCTGAGAGCTTATATTTTATCAGGCAAAATTACTATCATTTGCCAACTGTTGATTTTCTTCAAGAAACAGACATTCATTTTGAGGAAAGTGTCTGCTAATTAACCAAATTTAAATAACAGTTTTTGTCATTCATCCCTCAGGTAAGGATGGTGTTGCCCACAAATAAAAAGAGTCTAATTCACCTCATACAAATATTTTCCTCAGGACACAGTGCTTGGGAATGCCACAGAAGTGCTCTGTGTGTAATTCCAGTCAGCACCCCAGATATTTTAAAATGTGAAGTTGAGGATGAAACAATAATGAAGATAATTTTTTGATGCTTTTCCCAGGACATTTTCCAGTAAAACTGGCTTTAATATTTGTTCCTGCAGGCAAGTGCTGGTGAAGAAGCACTACTTCTGCAGTGGTGCTGTAAGCTCCACTCTTACTAAATTTTACCACAGCAAATGCCAAAATACTGAAAAGACAAATGGTGTCTTGAAAATAGTTTTACCTCAGGGATTCCCATGAAAGGTTCTGGGTGATTTCACGGGCACCAGAGACCACACTTTGAGAAATGTTTTTCTCAGGAAACCAGGGAACATCTCCCAAGTGTTCTCTGCCTTGCCTCCTCTTCACTTCCCAGAATCCCTCTCCCTGGCTGGCTCCTGCCTCCCCAAGCTGCCTCCCCTGCAGATATTGAGTAAGGGTGACAAAGACATGTGTAAACCTGACCTGCACCACGTAGTGAGATAGGAGGTCTTGTGAAAGCAGAGAAGCAGGAGCCCTAACACTATTATCAATAGTTTCAAGAGATGTAAAAAATATATATATATAAAATATATACAATAATATATTATATATAATAATATGTTATAATAATATCTAATATATTAATAGTATATAATATTAATAATATGTTAATAATATATGTTAATAATATATAAATATATACTATTTTAATATATAATACACATATTATAGATCATATATTAATATTATATATTATTAATATATTAGATATTATTATAATATTTTTATATATAATATATATAACTTATATATTATATAAATTATAATATTTTATAAATAATTATATTTATAATATAAATTTTAATAATTGTATATATTATATATATAACAATATTGTATTAATACTAATATATTATATATTAATAATAATATATTATATATGATAATATATTATATAATAATATATATTATATATATATATATATTTTACATCTCTTGAGACTATTGATAATAGTGTTAGAGCTCCTGCTTCTCTGCTTTCACAAGAAGACCTCTGCTCCTATCTCTCACCACGTGGCTCAGGTCAGGTTTACACATGTCTTTGTCACCCTTACTCAGTGTCCATCTCTCCCGACAGTGCAAGCTCCATGTCTCCAGGGGCCTTTCTCTGCTCTCCATTGTATCTGCAGGGCGGGCAGCTTGGGGAGGCAGGAGCCAGCCAGGGAGAGGGATTCTGGGAAGTGAAGAGGAGGCAAAGGCAGAGAACATATATATTAAAAACCAATTATGCATAAGGAAAACAGATTTTCTCTCTCCTCACAGCTGTCACTTCCACCCCTGACACACGTGTTCTGGCCCCATAAACCAGCCTGTCCCCTCTGCCCTCAGCCCCCCTCCATGTCCTGCTCCAGGACCCAACCATTTTGAGGAGGCCTGTAGCCTAATCTGCCTCCTGGTCCTGGCCCCATCCTCACCCTCATTTGCTCTTCCCCTCATTTATTATGCTCTGAAGACAGGCTTCCCCAAGATGTTCAGAAAGGGGTCTCCCAGACAGGCCATTTTGGCATGTGAATTATTTCCATATGCCAATTTTCATACTAGGCATGAAAATTTGGTGGTCTTAATAAACCCAAAATTAGGTTTATTACCAGAAACGAGTTTTGTACCTGAGAAACCTACCTATATGTCAGGGCAAATATAATTACAAAATATCTGGTCTTCATCATATAAGCCACCCTGTCCTTGCCATGTGATCCTCTCCTCTCTCCTGGAGGTCCCAGGCCCCATCTCATTCCTTAGCTCAGGAGACACACCCTCCCTCATTTCCACCACACCCCCGCACCGCTCCCGTACACATGGATTTCAGACACTCATTTACACGTAGATTCCCTATGCATATATAGGCAAATCTGGTTATTTTCTAGTACTAAAAAAAGAAAAAAGAAAAAAAAGGATTTCATAAAATTTCATGTGTTCAGAATTAAGTTATTAAAAATTAGATTTGATCATAGAAATGAATAAATCAGTAGATGAACTGGAATATTAAAGTCTCACTCCCAGTAAATAATGTGAATGGAAAAGAAATGACAAGCAGAGAGAAGACCTACAAGAAACTGAGTCTATTGATCAGGAGATTCCAACAAGTTTATAATACAAATGTCTAAAAGAATAGAGAGTGGAAACGATAAAAATTTAAGAAAATCCCTGAGCACTTACAGATAAAATGTCCACACTGAGTTTCCTACCCTGTTCCTCCTACAGAGGATGAGCAGCCCCACACCATGACCCGCTGCCAGGGACTTTCAGAAAGAGGCTGGAGAAGGACAGACCTTGGGGCCCTCAAGAGACAACTCAGGCCTAGAGGCCAGAAGCCCCTGGAGCCAGGCCTGCCCAGTCCTCAGGGGAATCCAGCCCAGACTCCATGTCAGGCCCAGGTGAGGGAAGCGCTGGGGGCACAGACATTCACTTCAGCTGCATGGTCTCAGGGGTACTGTCCACGTCCCTCCTCTAGTGGGCAAAGGGGAAACAAAGATGATGGACACAGAGAACAGGACACAGGAAAATCATCCACAGGGTAGTGGGGACAGGAGAGAGGCCAAGGGTGAGGTGAGGGCTCCAGGCCTTCAGCCCTGCCCAGGTGAGCAGGCCCTAGGCCCCGGCAAGCAGGACTGAGGCTGTGGGACAGGGGTCTGCCCAGGATGAAGTGGGCAGAATAGCTGGTGTGTGTGATATGTCAATGGAGATTCTCACCCTGAGGTGGTCTTGGGGGTGATTAGGAATGAGCACAACAGGAACTAAGCTAGTGCAGGAACAGGATACTTATAACTCCAGAGAAGAAAACTATCCTGGTCTAATCACTGCTCAGCTGTGACTGGCTCTCAAGTGGTCACAATGACGCAAACCCTGATCTACATGTATTTCAAAAAACTGCCAGAGGAGCCTCAGGGGGCAAATGCCTGTGCTGTGGATCTGAGGGGCCTCCTTCAGGGCCTCCTTGCCACTCAGAGGCAGCTCTCAAGGCCTGGGCAAGAGGCCTGGGCAGTGTGGGCAGGGACTTCTGCAAGGTCCTGGTTGAAGATTTGAATGTGAAGTAGAACAAGGGGCCCCAGCAAGGCTGTGGGGAAGAGAGCGACTGGGACCCTGGGGAGGAAGCCACAGCTGTCATCCAACAGAGGAAACAGAATGAGGAAGATAGTGACCAGATCCTTCAGAACAGGCCCCACATGGTCTATGGTACCCAGCCCTCAAACAAGAGGCGTCTCTTCTGAAAAAACACATGACTCTGGGGAAGGACATTAAAAATGTTCAACAGGACACGTCTCAACTGATGCCCGTGTTGGTAGAGATGGACCATCCCTACCAGCATCTACTCAGATGTTGGCATTCACTCTCATTGTCTACCTTGTTCCTGGCGTTCCCAAATAGCCAAAAATGCATGGCTAGCCACAAATTCTGACCTTTTATTCCTCAATTCAGTGAGTTTTTTTGCTTCTGGCTCACGAAGTCATAAGGATGCAAACCCTGGATCCTGGTGTGCATCTCAACAACCTGCCAGAGGGGCCTCAGGGGGCAAATGCCTGTGCTGTGGATCTAAGCGGTCACCTCCAAGGCCTCCTTGCCACTCAGCCAGCTCTCAAGGCCTGGGCAAGAGGCCTGGGCGGTGTGGGCAGCGACATCTCCAAGATCCTGGCTGAAAGATTCCATGTGAAGTAGCAGAGAGCAGGGTGACAGTCAGGGGCCCTAGAAAGGCTGCCAGGAAGATAATGACAAGCCTTCCTGGGGAGGAGGCTGCAGCTGTTCACCCAAGAGCCGAAGCACCAGGAGGAAGCAAGTCCCCAGGCCCTTTACAACATGCCCCCATGCTCTGTGGTACACAAACCGTGACACAGGAGACTGTCATGTGGAACAGCTTAGTGGTGGGTTCCATCCTCCAGGCTACCCAGAAAAATGAG